GGACATTTGGGCAACAGCCTCGAACCCGTGAATCACTTCAAGACTTCAAGACTGACCTTGTTACACTGTGACCTTCGTTGCTATCGCGTTGACGCGCAGTTTTAGATGGAGGAGTTTCAGGGGCCACAAGTGTTTAACCATTATGCGAAAGAAAGACCAGTGACAACAAACCAGACATATGGTTTTTTCTATCGCGAGCTCGAAAAAGAGTCAGAAGAACGAGAAAAAAACTACTTACAAAGGTGTCAACCTCCTGAAAAATTGAAAGAGTTGACTCCACCAACCGCATTCAGAAAGGAAGATTTTGTTCTTGGCAAAAAAGTAGACTATTTTGTGGCTCCACAACTAAAGGATTATCGAGAAGAGTGTCCTATATCCAAGGGTACTTCAGATGTTCCGGACAATCGTCTGACGAAGATAAAAGGTATTCAACTTTGGCACGGATACACAGGAGCGTTAGTGAATGTGAAACCTTGTTGACATCAAGCAGAAGTTATTTTCAATAATTTATCACTATTATTATTTTCATAATGATGCTATGTTTTCTGTATCATTTGCTGGATCACCTTTCAGCAAATTAATTTGACTTTAAACCAATAAATTCCGTCACTTTGCCAATTTATTTACCTAGAAGTCTGTTATTTCTAATTATTTGTGCCTATATAACCGTAGAAATACTGCAGCTTGTCATTTGTAGTATAAACTATCACTTTGTTTTTCAAAACTCGAAATTTTACACAGGTGTAGATTTACACCGTTAACGTAGGCCTACGTTTTTGCTGGTATATATACAACTGTTGGTTCAGTTCAGTTCAGCTCTTTGCTCACACGGCGATTTGTGGCTCTTGCCAATTAAGCGTCCAGATTCTTGTGTTGTCGACGAGTTTCTTTGGCTTCCAACTCATCGATATGCAATTTTTATGAAAGGCAGATTCTGCCTTTCAATATCACATGTGATACTGCAGTATCACATCCTTTAAACGCTAACGTCGGGGGAAAACCACCATTCAACACTCATCGAGTGCCCTTTTAAACTCATCTGCAGTACTGCAGCTTACCACAGTCCTCGTTCCACAACGGAATTACCATGTCAGTGAAAAACGTTGCCCTCAGTTGCAGTCTAGAGTGGTTTCGTTGCGGAGGTAGGTCATGTCCCCGTGTGCTTCTATGCGGAACCCAGGAGAACAGGTCGTCAAACCTAAGGCATGATATACCCTGGAAGATCTTAAATTAGATCCGCTCTCATCCATCTCCGTTTGAAGGACAACAAACTCAAATCCCTGAGCCACTATCCAAAGCTTTCCACCGTTGCCCAGCTATCATCCTCGTTGCTAGACGTTAAACTCTCTCCAAGGTATAGTTGCGCATATACGAACCAGTTGTCCCGTGGCTTTGTTTGCGGCCTTCACACACTGGGTGCTCGGTTTGAAGCCCTGTGTTATCAAATGCCCAGATCCTTTGCCTCGCACACCCTTTGTATCTACATGCCACTTTCTCTCTCGTCAGTTCTGGTCGTCAGTGTCTGACATTTCGAGACGTTCAGTGGTAGATCCCACTGTCTGGGCCATATTTTTTGACCTCTATATCACTTGCTAGATGACATCCAGCTATCTTAACATCATCTGCAAACAGAAAACAGGGACTTTGGAGATCCCATGCTCGGTCGTTGATGCAGAGCAGGAAAAACAGCTGTATACTAGCAGCTATATATATATAACACTGCTTTGAGAACAATTTTGGTGCCAATAATAACAACAACAATATTAACGATAACAATAATGGGAGGGGGTTGGGATACAGAGCATAGGGAAAAATACGTAACTGTTAGAATGAAAGATTAGGAATAAATGGAATAACATCCTTTGTGTTTCGCCGTACACTTTGATATTTTTTGTGTTATTTATTGCTTTTATGGGGAATGGGATTTTGACAGACAGACCGTACAACAATCGTGTCACTGACTTCTATTCTGGGCCGTATCTCTCAGCGTCTCTAACCAACGACAATTCTCCTCCCTTGGGGCCCAACCTGGAAGGCGGGCTGCACCAATCAAAGCCAAAGCTGAAGCTAGCTACAGCTACCAGCACTATCGTCCAATTCCGGTCCCGTAAGAGTCCAATTGAAGTCCGATTAAGTATAATATACTTGTATTCGAGTGTGTCCTTCCATGAAAGGATGCACCAGTCAATCGAATGTGTGCCAAGTTAACCCACTTTGAGATCTCAATGGAGGCTGAAACCGTCGAAAAATATGTGGTTCGCTGTGGAGAGGGTCAACTAAAAATCTGTAAGGCAGAGAGAATAAAAACAATAAAATAAAAGATTCATAGAAACATAAACACTGCTCAAAACAAAACTGAATGGTAAGTTGCCAAGGCCCTTCTACTATCCATTCCCATGGAAAAACACCGTCCTCAGTGTTCCAGAAACCGATGTTGCGGGGATAAATAATTCTGGCAGAGTAGCCTGAAAGTTATTGACTCGGAGAGACAGAGGATTCTCCAGTGTGCGCGTTTGTTTTAAATGTAAGTTGGAAGTCACGAGAGGCCTGTTATGGTTCGAATTTCTCAATTTGCCGATGATAGACCGACATAATCACGTACAAAGGATAACAGTTAACATGATCACACACAAGATTTAACAGTAAAGCACTGAATATTCTAGAGAGGAGGGAATGCGCTATGAATGTAAGTCATTGCGCGCACTAAACATAAGAAACTAAAATATCCGATACACAAGGAGAACGCTTGGCAAGACAGAGGTTCGTGAAATCGAACAGTCTCAGTGCGCGCATAAAGAAAACATGCCAAACGAAACAACGCCTCGGGATGATCCTCCTGCAGTCCTTGTTAGTTCAGGTGGATTATTCGACTTTTCGGTGCACCTAACAATGGGACTCTCCCATATGGGACTATCATAGGAATCTAATGTGACTCTAGCAGGACTCTACCACGACTGACTGGACTCTAAGTGACTAAAACAGGACTTCAATAAAACTCTAATGGAATCTAATACAACTTTAAGTTTAGTTCAGTTTGAACAATCATTAACTATGCACTTTCGTGGGGTGGTTTTGGCTGCCCTTTTGGATGAACATTGGGAGAAAGAACATGACCTCGAGGTCACCATCCAGGGAGCCTATCGGGGCCTACGTGACACAGAGTCCTGGTTTGGGTTTTCATATTCTCATGCCGGGCCTTAGGTTGACCACCCTTGGCTTTATTCCACCAACTAACTGCTTCGGCAAACATCGCTTGGTAACATGCGTAACACAACTCTGATGAGAAGATGATGAGGTATAGTATAACCGCACTTTTTGACATTCGTCCCTCTATTTTCTATCGTTTTACGGTACTCTGATCTACCTATGTACGAAGAACGTTCTATTAAACTATTAAAATGGGTGTCCTGGTGGACACCGCTAAGAAAGATGCGTTAAAACATCCAGTACAGGGTGTTCAGTCAAGTAAACATTTTGCTTTGAATCAAAATAAGAACCAAATTCCATCGGTTTACCCATCCCCTTGCTTAGTGCCAAAAACAAAGCTAAACAAAAATTAAACCTGAATCCAACCATGGTTAGGACTTAATGATTGTAGTAATTATCGTAGACTAGTGTAAACTGTTTCAGTTGTCACTTTGTTGATTCTGCTCTAAGGTGAAATTACTGATTAGTAATGACAACGGACGTAAAAGATAGATGAAACGTGAAGTTAAATAACAGCCTACAATACTAAATGAGAAGAAAGAATATGCATGAGTCCTGGTTTTGAAGTGAGAAAAATGTGTTGATTTTAAACTGACTGAATCTAGCTTCCTTTTGAACATTTTTACATTACGAGCAGCAATAACAATAATTTGAAGCAGTTTCCGTATTTGCCGATCTTCCGGTATAAGCGGGGCACCTCAATAGATATGCTTAACCTAAACTTTCTAACTTCAAAGCGATGTTTCGTAACCGAAAGCCTCATGGTTGTTTAGGGCTACCAAAGTAGGCCAACTGTCATTTTCCTCGTTACCATACGACATATCAGAAAAAAGTCCTCAAAACTCAAGTTGATTTAAGGTATAGAGCAAACGCCCATGTGTTATAGCCTTGGTTATGAGCAGGGTCACAAATTCTATTAAGCAACCGAGCTATTTCTGTCAGCTCCTTTCTTCTAGCCTATTTATTTCCCACCAGGTGTTTAGTTTAATGGCAGGCAGTATCCTACATATAATAAAATAATGATAAAACACACTTTGTACAAAAAGCACTACTGGTTTGAACTATCCGCAACATAATGCCCTCAGCAATTTTATGTACTTCTGTGACATTATTTCTGAAGTAGTAAGTCGGTTAGAGTCTCATGGTCCACAGAGTCAAAGATACCTTTTACATAACACCCCGATTGTTAGCCGATGGTATGTGACGCAACTTAAGCTAATTCAAAACTTTAGCCAATGCAATCAAGACCTGGTAGCAATCTTGTTATGTAGGAATATTTGTCTCTCTGAGGTTGACAGACGATGAAGTTTCGGAGAATCTGACAATGATAATCCTCAAAACTGAACGATATTTGCACATTTGTTGAACAAAGAGCAGGATGATCAATGATAAACCCCTGGAAAAATATGCATGATCTTCTGGTAAAATATTGTATAGTAAATCAGAAATAGATTCTGTGGCAGAAGCACCACCAATTTATTGCCGTCCTTCCTTCCTTCAGTGATTGAATGCAGCATTCTCCTAGTTTTGTACAGAGCTCACTTGTCGCCACTTATGGAGCTTAAACTGCAGTCACGAGAATAACCGCGATAGCACCAACTCAGTTGAACTGTTCGTTAAGAACCCCTAATCAGAGAGCAAGCCACTTTTACTAGTTGTGAAGCTTTTGTTTAGTTTCTTCGCAGGTGGTTTCATTGACCAATATGCAACTACGTCTATTGTTGTGCATTGAGTGAAACAGTGTTTAACAATTCCTCAATATTGTGACTGCTTTTGTTTTACAAGTTATCTTGACCCACCAGTTTTCATAACCTTTCCAAGAGCGTTTTCTAAATCTAGGTTATGAAAACCATCCATTGTAATGCTGAATTTGACAGATTTCAATATTTTCCTTTGTTTTCATCAGAAATAATGAATTCTGAGAAATTTGTTATGTTTTTANAGAGCAAACCCCCCCCCCCGATTAACGATATATGTTATAGTTTTTCAGTCGGACTAGTAAGTCGTATAAGTATCGAAATCCGCGCAGTAATAGTTCAGACCATAACTAAGACTCGGAATGAAATCAGAACACAGTACTCAACAACGGAATTTAACTATAATGGGCGGAAAGTTGGAATGTACCAGAATATCATGTTCCATAAAAAAGGAGTTCCTAGTTTAAGTGCAATCACCACATCCGCGCAGCTAGAATGAAGGTCCAGTTTTCTGTAATCACCGCGGGCTTCGTTGAGTAATCGTTCGGATNACAGCTGTACTGGAATGTAATTCATCTGAGAAAGACTCAGAAATAACAGGATTGGTAGATTCAAAATTACTATCAGGATTAGGCAAACCACAAATTATTTGATCTACGTGTCTATTATGTACAGTACCATCGTCTAAATCCAATATTCGACATACTTTTTGTCCCATGTGGTCCAGTGTCTCTGGAGGGTCGTGAATCGTTACCCCGATGATACACAACTTCCGCAGATTCCAAGATTTATTCCAAGTATTCAACTCTTAAAACGCTTTGCTGGTCTGTGCCCCGTAGTTGAATGTACTGCAATACGGAATTGCATCAGGAAGTTACCGACGCCTCTGTCCAGTTTATCGAATGTACCTGGATTCACAGAAGCAATAACACTCTTCGGTGTGCGCACAAAGTTTTCGGCTGCGCTATTGACTCGGGGATGTCGGGATTGAGTGAGAACATGCCGAAAACTCACGGAATTTAACTAATCGGTAACTTTCTTAGCAGTAAAATGATTTCCAGTCACGATAGCATGCGGGACGCTTTGTCTACTGAATATTTTTGTGAGTGCTGGAATGGTAAATTCTGCACTGGGTGATGTAGTAAAGTAGACTCCTGACCAAAGGGAATAGGAATCGATGATCACCAATGTGTAATACTTGTTGAAGAATGGACCACAGTAACTCACATGTATTTGTTGCCATGACTCGGAGGACACTGGCCACGGAGTCCATTTTGAAGGTTGCCTATGAGCTTTGTGCACGCAATCACTACAGGATTTAGAAACACGACTCAGATCATGATTCAACTCAAGCCACTATGTGAGACAAGAAAGCGACTTCATTTTTCAATACCAAGATAACCGGAATGTAAGTCATTCAGAACAAACGTAGGTTATGTCGGAGGTACAATAATGCCGTCATTGTAACAAGACACCATCGCACATCACAAAAGTTTCCTCACGACGTTTACAGAATTCCGGAAATCGACGCTCGATATCACTTCGCCAACCTCGACGGACACAGGGAATGATAGCGTGATAATACTCACTGGTCTCTCGAACTGCATCAGACTGGCTTACCGGGAACGGTTGAGTGAGTCGATAATCACCCGTAGAAGCCTCCTCTGAAATGGCATAGCGTGATAAACAGTCTGCATGTGTAATGGATCGCGCCCTCTGATGATGAATGTCATAATAATAGGCAGACAACGCAACACTCCGTCGTTGTACCGTGGCTTCGGATGACTTTTCCAGGGAACGTTGGGGGTTGTAAATGAACTGAAAGCTTCATGATCACTCACAATAGTGAAATAAGTATCATAAAGATACAAGTGCATACGCGTGACGGCCCAATAGACACCTAGAGCCTCTCGTTCAGCAGCCGTGAGTCTGCGTGAAATGCACAAAACCGGATGACCGTTCTACTCCAAAACAGGTCCGATTCTAACAGGCAATGTGTAAGTGATGAAGGTAGAATGTCATTGTGAAGAAAAGGGACATAACACAGCACTGGTAGATGAAAAGGAACGTAAATCCCTCAAGGAACATTCATGGACCGAAGTCTACAGGGATATTTGCTGTGGTTGCAAATCAAACAATGGGGCAGCTGTAGTTGAAAAATTAGGAATAAACTTGGAATAAAGAACAAATTGAAGAAAGAAGTTCATCAAAAGTCTTGGGAGATGGAGGATTGGTCGACGAAGAAAATCGATTAGGGTCACGACGGAATTCAGATTCATCAACCAAGTAGCCTAAACAAGAAAGTTTAGTCGTCACAAAGGTGCACTTATCAGGGTTAATGACAACATTATAAGAACAAAATCTATTAAGCAAAGCACACAAGCGTTCGTCATGTAACTGTTTGCTAGGAGCATGAACAATAATATCGTCCTGATAGGCACACACACTTGTAAGCCGGAGATGATGGATTTAATGATAGTCTGAAAAATGGCGGGGGACACACTCAGTCAAACAGTAGAAAATTGTAGTGAAATAGACCAAAAGGTTTGTTCATATTCGTAAGTTCACGTGACTTTTCATCAAGGGGAATTTAAAGAAACGCATTTTTAAGTCCAGACTAGAGAAAAAAATTGGCTCCATGAAGTGGGTGCAGAATGTCTTCTTATTCGATAGTGGCGCAACTGGACTGTTTCAACTGTCTATTCACCGTAGCTCGATAAACTCTCTATGTTCTAGGAGTCTTCCAGTCATCCTTTAGCGGAGTAACAATTGGCGTAGCCCACGCTGAAGAACCCACTGGTGTCAGAATCCCCTTGCTGATCATATCGTCTAACACATTTTTACAGGATCACGAAGTCCAGACGGCATAATCCGACGTTTCATAAACACCGGAGAACCGGTTACCTCTAGACTTATGGAAGTCCTTTTGATACCACCCTTTACCTTACAAAATTTGAGTACTAAGTGACGAAGGTGTAATTGATGAAAGACAGACATAAGCGAATTTGAAAGATGCATACGGTTCATGCAATTCAAACCAATTACAGAAATATCGGAATTGATAACCGAAATCTGACAGTGAAATATTTATGATTAATCGTCTTTAAGAAGCAGTTCACGTCATCCTAAAACGGGGAAAGAATGACCCGTAATTCCCTTAACTGAAATGTCTGTAGGGGAAAGTGCAAATGGGGAGGGGGGGGTTAGATGACGAAACAACTTGTTGGAAATGAACCAATCAATACTACCGGTGTCCATGATGAATGTGTGTTGAATGGAGTCATTAATGATGAAATCACCAGTGATATGGCAACAGGGATGTGAAATTGTACTATCTAGATTTATAAACTTTAAATCAGACAATACATTTTGGAGGAATGAATAGTCGTACGTTCTGTAAGACAAGACTTCGCACTTTTACAGACAGACTGAATTTGGCCAAGCTTACCGCAATTGTGACACTTGGCATTATGAAATCCACAGGTTAACCGCGAGTACCTTTGACCACAAGACTTGCCCTTATTCCAACGTTGAATCCGTTGGTCAACGTGGGCAGGAGAACTGGTGCTGCTTGGTATTTTCGAGTCTTTTTCGAAAAACCGCTTTCGTCGGGATGGGGAATGTTTGGGATTATTGGCATTGAGCAACACATTGGGTATATCAAAAACAATAGCATGGACATCTTGGTACTGTTCACAAACTGCCTAAGCAAACTAAAATGTGTAATCGTTCATGAACAAGAGCTTTTGCTGTCGTTCAGGGCAATTAATANATACCAGCAACTAATTGATCACATAGCTGGATTTGTAGTCGACCTCCGAAATTACAACCCGATGCTTGAGTTTGAAGCTGAAGATTAAAGTCACGTATGGACTGGCTTCCAACACATGTGAGCGAATGAAATTTGGCTCGCTCAGCGGCTTCGAAATTAGTTGACTGTAGATGTTCCATCAGCAAAATTTTCACGGATTCATATGATAATGATATATGAGCGTCAGAAAAAGCCAAACTCTTCAACAGGCAATACACATCCTTTCCGATTATCATAAGA